GTCACTCGTCTTTTTTTTTTTTTTTTTTTTTTTTTGAGTGAATTCCCGGGGAAACGTAAGATATAAATTAAATTTACTCCTAAACGTACAAATAGCTAAAATCGAAAACAAAAACACACGAGCTTTTTTTTACACATTGAAATTCGAAATAATGAGCGCTAGTCTCGTGACAACTTTCGTGAGTTAGCCGAGATATGTAACATTGCGATTGAAGCTGGAGATCGAATGTCCTGTTCCGATTCACTGCCTTGATAGAGAAGCGCCTGCTTTCTTGCTAATGGCATAATTGACACAGATAACACAATTTTATTGATGTATCGTTTTGATGTTACAAACCATCTTTTACTAGTAATGATCGGTGTATTTTTTACGGTTGATTTGAGCCTCGGTACGAGGATCGTTGTAGAGCATCGTACGCTTGCGAAGAGTTTACACTTCGTGGCACTGATACGAATGATAAAGTTGATGACTCCATGAAGTGCGCCTAATGGGCCAACTCGCCTACTAGTCCTAGATAACACGCAAAGAGTTCGGAAGTCACCAAAAACAACTGCCTGGCGAGTGATATACCGCTGAGTAGGATATCTTTACTCACAAATGGAATAATTATGAGCTTAATGGTACAATGGTAATAGGCAGAAGGAGTCTTGCTCCCACAGGACTCCTCTAAACAAACAACTTTTTGACGTATAATAGGCGGAATCCATCATCCGCAAAATGGTTTTTCGCTATCTCTTCTGATAATCGCCCACAAAGGCTCCAACATAAAATTGGTAGCGATGCTTTGATGTTCGGTTTACATGTATTTAGTAATATGCCCTCATTCATCATTGCCTTGCACCGAGATCCCCGATGTTTGCTAGCACTAATGGATCTTACTTTTTCTCGAGTTAACCGAGGCTAGGAAGTTATTAAAAACTTGCTCTGTTTATCCAGTCTTAAAAGCCTGCGTTTGTTCAGTTACTACATAAATTACTTGTCTAGCTCTGATATCAAGTGTATCAGATCACCGAGACGCTACTCACATCAACTACCGCCGCCTTATAACTTTCGACCACACGAAACTTCATACACTCCATATGCCAGGAAATTTTGTGCAAATTTCGAATCTGCCATCGAAATCCTCGCGTACACTTCCTTCGTTTATATAACGGAGAGAAAGACGGATCTTATTTTATTTAACTCAAACCAATATTAGTTAACTGCGATATTTATTTATGCTATAAAAACATTATAATAGGTTATATTAGGATTTACATGCGATAGTTTCCAGAGGCTGGCCTCGGTATCGACCATGTGCGTGCGAGGATCTGAATAATGTCTTCGGATAATTTACACAGATTATTATAAAATGTCACAACGTCTGTGTTGAGAGAAAAAAGACAAAGTCGATCCTGCATCATCTGCGGGATGTTTTGACATGCGTGTTCAACAAAAAAAAAACGTATGTATCGAGCATTATCATAACAAACAAATAATGCATGTACACGTTTTATTGTCCTTGTGGTATTTTCATTTTGGCTAAAGCCACTGCTTGTGTCATGTACTCGCGCGAATGGGTATGCGCATTCTCATGTTCTTGAAAATACAATTCTCCCGTAATTAATTTATTGGTTCAATAATTTAAGTGTGACGTTGCAATTTTCATGCAGATGACCTGTTTTAACTCGACTGATTTCAACGTGACAGTTGTTTTCTCAATATCTTAAAGAGCTGCATTTAATTTTGGAGTTTTATTGCGTTTTTTTTGTACATAACAAAGCCATCTTTTTAGAAATCCTATCTATTGTACCCTAAGGGTGCAGTTATTTTATGGTACTCTATGGGAGAAAAAAAGAAAACACTGTTCTTAAAACAAATTAACTGCAATGAAGTCCGAGTCGTGCGCTAAAAAGCACCTTCCCCACCTTGAAAAAAAAACAGGTCGTCCACCCGTTTCTCCTTTTATTCTGGCCATTAAATGCAGGGCGTACAACCAAATAATAAGTTTTTGGTGGTAGTTGTTAAAACTTAGCCCATGCGTATTTTTGTTCAGCAAAAGTGCATTTCAGCGATGACCACCGAGACCCTCACCCCTCCACGTGTTGCATCCAATGAAATTGATCCAAGGTGAAGAATTTCACTAATCCGATAGATTAATCATAATCCCAAGACTGTTTTTTTTTCAACCATGGCAGCTGTATTATAACTCCGACTGCTAAAAGAGGTGGTCTGAGGTTATAAACTACTTGCCAACTTTCAATCTTACCACACCGCGAGTTTTGGATGCTAAGACCCCTAAATACCCCATATAAAATAACCTGGATTTCTCACGCATAAACGGATGATTTATCACAGGTGACGTCGTTACCATGACGTCATTTCCCTTACTTTAGTCACGTACTTATAAACAAGTTGTTAAATTTCGCACAGGTCAAGAGATAGAGTTGTGTGTATTGATTGTACATGAATGAACGAATGAATGAACGAATGAATGAATGAATGAACGAATGAATGAAAAGTCGTTCCAATAACACTGCGAATAAGTTGCCCGTGTGTGTGTGTGTGTGTGTGTGTGGGGGGGGGGTTATATCACGCACTGCCAAAATATATGAAATATCCAGAACATTATATTGCGAAAACTAACTACTAATGTTCGAAATTGTTGTTTAACATTTTTTGGGGACGTTTGCCAACATAATCATCAGAAATTGCACAAGTTTGCCAAGACTGAATGTTTGAGTTCGATTGCAGAACTTGTTCAAAACTGTCAGTTTTTTTTTTCAATCCATAGCGAAAGTTCTATAAAATGCCACGGTGATGTCCATAGGTTTCGCATGGCCTCCGATTTCACGCTTTAACTAAACTTTAAAATTTCGCTTCCCTTTCAACAAATATTTTTGGTGATTTCAGCAAACCCTGACAAGCTGTATTATCGGTCGCAACTGGTACCTGGTCGCATTCCCTCATCCTATTTCTATGGTATGCTTCAATTACTGAACTCTGGCCCCGCGCTATTACACGGTCATTACGTCATCTGTAAAGTCAGGCTCTCTCGGTGCGTGTATTCCCTTATGTACTTGTTACAATAAATTACATATCTGTGTGCGTGTGTTGTGCTACCGATACATATTGTATAGGTGTGGCTCGCCAATTAGAACCAGTTCCGGGTCACATGGATAATAAGATCTATTCCTCCCGACAAAATGTGTAATTTTCCTAAATAAGTGACATACGATAAGTTCGCGTGGTTTTCAATCAATTTTCGTCCATTTTTTTTAAATCGAACATTTAGTATTGACTATTAGTGTATGCCAGTTTTAAGACAGAATCTCTAGAAATAACGTTTGGTACTTTTAATTTGAACGCGGAATTATTGCGCCGGAGTTTTGGTTGTTGTCGTTACATAGTTCATGGTGTCGAAGGAGAGCGCAGGAATTGGTCGCCCAATGAAGCGCTTACTCCCAAGACGAACAATCACGTGGCCGACGTATACCCGTGTCCACTGGGAAAAGTCTCTAAACGGTTCAGTGGTTCCTCTGTGCATTTGGAATGACGGAAAGAAGGTGGTTATAGAATCGAGACTCGGCAATCTACTGATCAGTCAAATCTCAGTAATTGAAGAAATAGAAGTTTCTGACCACTTGATCAACTTGAAGTCATCGAGAGACATTTTAATTATCATCTACGAATTGTCGTCTCTAATATAACAAGAATTGTTTATCAATATTGTTTTTCTGTACTAATAGCTGTGCTATTAAAGAAACCGTCTGAATATTCATAAAAACATGGTTAAATACAATACCCTAATTCAGTAAATCAGTTACAAAATAAATAATTACATGATATTATACAAGACGTTTACAAATATGTTGGGGGAATTTGCGTATATCGTGTTTGTACCCACATCATCGAATTTATTTGCCTCAGTCAGGATAAATGAACGCAATTTAATTCGGAAATCTAATAGCATTGAGTCGTGTATTTGGAAATACGATTTTATAATTTTTAAGCTCATCGCTTATTGGACAAACCATGACCATAACTAGTGAAACAGCTTGTGTTGACCTGTGCCGCTGCAACGCGTGATGAACTGGCATTGTATAACAACATGAGATCGAGCGACACTTTTGTTTAAAGCTATTTGCTTCAGCTATGTACATGACAAGGATCTATTCAGGGTCTATTGAAGTAGGCTACGATGAAGGACACCGCGGACGACCAACCATGAAAACGAGGCTTAAATTTGCATAATCGGGGAGTCTAATCATCCTCTGATCGTTTGAAAACTGGGCTCAGACATCCGTCATTTATCAGATACATCGGCAAACTCTTTTCATAATTAACAACTTTTTCGATAAAAATGAATGTTACCGAATCATACTAAGTAATTATTCCGATTAGTTTTGGTATATTTTCTGTCGATGATCGTAGGTGTTTCGGGCACTGTGCTCCAATTTCGTCGCGGTACATGCCTCTAGTACTTCCGGGATTTGTATTGTGTTTACATCACTGACGGCCGCATATATCATGTACTTCACTCGCTGCTGAGTGCATTTCCAGTGTGAGTGCCGTGCCCTAAACAGCTGTTTCGTGCATATCCATGATCGTCGCTTCGGTACACACCAGTCTTTACAGTCGCCGTTTCCGATAATTCGCCAGATCACCCCACACAGGTTAGTTTTTTTTCGCGTTTTGGAACTCTATCAAAATTTTAGTGATTTCAAAATCTTGGACGTAAAACCAATAGCGTATTGAACGACTACCTGTTAACCGCCGATGTGATTTCGTATCTGTTCGCTACTTGCGACCTTGTTTCATACTTTAAAGTTTTCGACGCATTTTCAAATATTTTGTTCTTATTTTAAATTTATATTAAATTAAATTAAATTGATTAATATTATATCTGACATTTCTTTTTTTAATTTATAATTCTTGTGTATATTAATATTTCAATGTTATATAGTTGCTTATATTGATAATTTAAGAGTTATTCTTTCATAATTTTTTTTTTTTTGCAGATATTGTGGGTCTTATATAAAATAAAGATGGAAAATTCTACATTTTTATCACAGCATCTTGGTACACCCAGTTTGATGGTGCTAGCGTCAACTGCCGAAGCTGCCAGAGACTCTGGCCATCCACCTTTTCCTGGTCATCTCCAAGGTTTGGATAAGGATCATTTTCCAGGAATCCATGCGCTTTTCCAGAGGCAAAATAATCCAGATTTATTTTCGCATAGGGATTTCCCCCACCATCTCCTGCCCATGCATCCACAATTTCGACACACCTTGGAAGCTGCTCGTTTTTTCAGTACTACTGGCAGTGGGGCTTTCCGTCGTTTTAACAGCGAGGATAGAGAAAACTCGTATCATTCGGCATTCGTTCCAACCAAGCGACTGAAACCCTCCTCAACCGAACATGAGCTGACTTCTCACTCAACTGGAAAAGATTTTCCTTTTTCAAGTTCATTCGACAAAGATCATGACAGTCACAGACATTCACCATCAGAAGTGAAAAAGAGTGAGGGTCAGATTTCCGTGAGCACATACGAAGGGGACTCAACCGACCAATCCAGTCCAGACGATTGCCAGAGTGCGACAGGTATGTACTCTTCTTGTATAGTGAATAATGACTTAATTACGAAAAATGTCACAAACTTCTAAGGAAATTATACAAGAAAAGGACAATGTCCAAGTCTAAGTAAATCAGGTTGTTTCCATTGTTAGAAATGTTGTACGCCTTCCTGCAGTTGCTGCAACCTGGCTTAAAATCACTGGAATGAAACCAAATGCAGGAAACTGTTTGTTTTTGATAGGAAACGTTTAGTGCAGCCTAAAAAGCAGTTCTGATTTCCCCCTCAACAAACTCTCTCATTTTAAGTACCCATTTGCCTTCCAGTTATTGTTAAAAGAAAATTGCGAAAAAACAATTTAATTGGTGATGATTTTGTAAGTAACATAGCCAAGTTGGAGCCATTTCAGCAGACGTTTTTCCTGTCCTCGCAGAACCCCGTCCGTATATGTTAAAGTGATCAATTGCTTCTCCATGCTTCGTTTATTTCCTTACAAAATATTTTATTCATTCATTGCGCTGCGAATGAGGTTTCACTGTGCAGTCACCATGCAAAGGGGCATTGCTGTTACAACAATACTATCTGTTTGCTATATTGATTTGTTTCATTCTTTTTTTTTTTTTTAAATAATGTTTTTTCGATCTGTGAAGTAATATGAATATACACCAGTGTATTGTAGTGATGTCTCTCTTTTTGTAGCTCAGAAAGAATGAAACCTGAAAAAAAAAAATACCAGTTTAATATTTAATTCCTAATCTAATTTACATTTCGGTAATTTCCATCTAAAAATCAACTAGCGTATCAAAACACGAGGAGTTTAATTTCCACTGTACTAGACTGTAATTTTGATGAAGCGCGTGGAACAAAAGGCTGCCCTGAGCCAAGTCATGTCGAGTTTATTCTGTGCATTTCAACAGAGTCGAGAAAAGTAAATTTGATTTACTGCAGGTCCTAATGACAATTAAGCCACGATTGCAAATTTAGCTCTACACTGATACCGATAACACACGTTTTGTGTTCATTGTCGACTCATGATTGAACTCGGAAGGATCATTAAAAATCTGACTGCGCAACGTGAAGAATATCAAACCTTAAGTAAAAACAGTATTGAGAGTAAAAACTAGTCGATTACATGGAATCAGCTCGCGATTCGCAATTCCCTGAAGTGATGCCGAGAATAAAAATTGAGAAGCATTGGGCGTGGGGGAGTGTAATCGTAATAATGCGTGTATACTTGCTTGGATTAAACTAATTCCGTTTAATAATAACAAAGCTTACATGCTGAATAGTTTACCCTAGCTGCTGGCTCTCGGGAGAATTTAAACCATTTTTTTTCTCAATACAAAATCAGTCGGTGTCTGTGTCCAGTGAATTCGTACCCGTTTCAATTAACCCGTCCGTCTATCACAAACTCATTACTGTTTGCTCAAGAAAATTGAAAGCGGCATGTATTAGAATATTCCGGCCATTACTTCGCCGTATATGACATTTAATATTCATGGTATTCAGCTCGGTTGATGACAGTAATTTTCACTTCGCAACTTTATGATGTTAACGAGCTCTGCCAAAATGATGGACTTCAAAATAATGTTTTAGCTATCACGAATATTTCCTCGATAACTAGGGGTGACGGCTCAATGCAGCAGTTTCTGTTGTAGCCGCCCCGCTTTGTGATAGTTAATCTGTGAGCATTCAAAAGATATGCCTCCGAATGGACATATTTTGTGAGTATAACTCATTACCTAGGTAACTCTGAGTATAATGTAATTATTATCAATAATCTAATATTGCTGACAGCACTGAGATTTCACTTTGACGTTGTCGTATTAATGTTGAAATTAAAGATGAAATGACTATTCAAGTTTTGTGTTTTGTGATACTGTGCTATGTAAACGTGCTATTGTCCTCGTTCTCAAATGTACCAGGCTTTGTACTATCTGCAACATCTCTTTCAAGTGTAGGATTGTTTTAAACTTGCTTGAATGTTTTTTTTTGTTTTTTTTTTAATCCGTTTGTAACTATATTATTTCGCCATTTGACAGTCTGGAAATTAGACTTGTATATTGTTAAATCAACATTTAAAAGATTTCATTTTTAGTAAAATTAAATTAATTACACAAGAAATTTAAGATAGTCACAATGTAAGAACGGAGGATCAGATAAAAAACAGTTCGTTTATTCTTCATATTTGGGGAATGTGATGCATTTGAAAATAAAATTTAGCATTTGAAAACAGTCTATTTGATCATGTACCTTTCATTTGTATCATTACAAATATTTAAACCAGTGTATAGGCCGCAGTAATTACATTAAAAAAAAGAACCTCAGGGCTTGCAAAGTTGATATTTGTAACGGTCATTATCAGATTGGCCATTCAACTTCAAGGTTGAGTTATCCGATGTCTGTCAGGGGCTACATTTTTTTTTATTTGTCTGACATATATCATATGATGTTAAACTTTACAAGTTCTAGTGTTTACTGACAGTATACTTATCTGTATCTTTTGTTAAACCTGTTCCTAACGTACCATCGTGATAAGATGAACTTTATTAATACAGTTGAAGGCCTTAGTTCACTTGCTTTAAAGTCTAATTTTTAAAACTACAATGTAACTACAAAATCCTCTTTTTCATATCTATATTACTTCCCAATAGTTGTGGAATTTTTAGTTTATACCTTGTTGCTTAATTTATTTTTCAAGTTCATCATAAAGTCAAAATTTTTTTTTTTTTTATCTGTTAAAATATTTTGATTACTGTCAAAAAAATCGATAAAGTTGTCAGAGTCTATGTATTAGATGTTACTGTGGTAACAGTGACATGCGTAACTAGTCTGAAAACCTGGAAATTGTAAATGCAAAGTTCCTTGTTTAAAATGCTTAATTGGTTGGGATGAATTTTGTGTGGGCTGGATAACTCCAATGTTAATTTGCTCAAAAGAATTTAAACAAATTATATTGAACTTTAAAAAAAAAAAAAAAATTTCCACTCACTCATTTTTATTTGTTTTTTAAGGTATTTAGCAACAAAAACTTGTAACATGTCTGTGCATGCATGTGTATCTTGGGTACGTCCAAACGTTCGGCTCAGTAGTTACGGGTGACTAAAAAAGACAAGTGGCTTACTCTTGAATTGAACAACCGCTCCACTTCAGAATCAAATAAACTTTTGTTGTTTTTATTATAGGGTTGTAGTGTGACTAACTGTGAGTTGTTTATGGTAGTCTTTTCGTTGCTATATAAAGTTAAGACTGTTTTTTTTTTATCACATGCACTAAAATCATCCACTCCACGGTAAAATGATAGGTACCGTCTTAATAGCCGACCAAAATCCTTAATAGCCGACTTAATAGCTCAGCTTTGGGATTAAAAACATTTCAAAGCATTTCTTATTTTTCTTAAAAATGTATTTATATAAATATATATTAAAAATATGTAATATCTACAGTTTAAAGTTGAAGAGGAGGGTAATTTATATTTGTTGCTTTATGTTTTACACATGAGAGGCATGGTATTGTTGAAATTAAAAAATGCAATGAAAATACAATTAATTTTGTGTGTAATACAGTGTCAATTAAGCCACGAGAGGTATTTTAACAACAACTTTATTTAGCCAATACTGCTAGCTCCTTCTTTATTCATAACTGTTACAGCGGTGTCTAATGTGTCCCCCGGGAAATGACATAGCTGAGAAACCACTGGCTACAAATCACTGCGTTGTGCACCCGGTCGGTCATCCGTTTTGTTCCGTTCTTCAGATGGCGGCAATTTTGTATGATACCCCTATAAGTGGAAGTCCATAAATACGAGATTTGGCGTGCCGAGCCTCTTGACATGTTGTCAGCTCTCAAACACCGAGACAGTAGTTAGGCATTTCTGGTCGCCGCCACCGTCGCCGAATCTGTGTGTTCATATAGGTCTAGCTGCCACATCGATCATGAAGTAGACAACTTAACAGTTAATGTACATTCTTGGTTGCATTTCTCAGTAAATTATTTCTCGTCTGTCAACGGAATAATAAAGACTGGCAAAGTGAAAATTTAGGTGTAAGTCAAAAGAGCTAAGGTCGTTTGCCTATAAGTGGGGTGTACTTGAGATGGGCGGATTGTTGTTGGTAACTGGAGCATGTGTGTTTCGAGATCACGTAAAAGATACTTTGGCACATCTATCACGATGTACCTCTCATAGTACCTACACTGAAGCAGGACCACCGTAATCATCGATAGCAACTCATTGGGTCACCGTTGTCATGGTGATTTTTTTTTACCTCAGTGAAACACTGAATCTAGGTGCCAAGAACGTGATAATTACGTCTGCTAGCTAATTAAACAGCTGTCGCAACTGAGCCTGCCAAGTCAAATTAGTTGGAAATAATTTTTCGAACTCTAGGTAGTAGGCAGATGGCAAGTGTTAAAAGTGCGTCACCCGTTATATACAAACCATCCCGGCGTTTTATGTAAATGTCATAACTACCGTTGTACTAAGTACCTACACGTTACTTTCAAAGCTTTTCTTTATAAAGCTTACGACATCATTGTATTATTTTTAAGGCAAACATAGTATAGTTCGGTGCATTATGTTATGTCATTTTTATCCCCAATAATTATGTTGAGTTTAACTCCACCGATATCTGTGGGGGCCACATGTCGCTTTCAGTGATTTTTGAAAGCGTGAAGTTTAAAAAAAAAACAGCCAGCTTTCAACTCTCTATATGTTACATTCAACTTGTTAAATATCTGTTAAACTTTCTTGTTAAAACAATTGATTCTAATTTTAATAAATCAATTGTAGTTGGGAGGGGTGGGGGGGTGGGGGGGGGGGCTGGGTTGAGTTATACATATGGGCGTAGATTTTGTTATCAATTGATAATGGCCATGTCTGATGTGAAATCGTATTGTTATCAACTGCGAATACTTAAACAATTGTTGAATTTTTTTTTTTTACTTGTATATACTTACTTGCGATGAAAAAAAACTGTTTTCTAATATGCTACAAAGATCAAATACTCTTTTAAAGTAGATTTTCAAATTG